GCTTTTGCTGCTGAGCTAAATCCCCAGCCCCCTTCAGGGTATTTCTTTTTGAGAGATTTAGTAATATCAGCTGACCAGCCCCAGAATTTTCCTGTTACTTGGTGGTATCAACTTTGAGCCCCTTTATCCTTGGTATCTTGAGGTTAGGGCCAACAGCTGGCCTGTGACTTATATAAAAGTTATCTGTGTCACCAAAGTAAAGCAAAAAGTGTGTAGAACAAGTGCATAAACTTCACTTGATCTTACTGCTTGTTGTTTGTGTACATTTTAGTAGTCCTTGTTATTTAAACTTGATGTAAGAGGACAAGAGGCAGGCAGGTGAGGATACCTGAAGGGTGATCACACCGTAATAAAGGCCAGGCCAGGGCAGACTGCGATGCCTTTGTTGGTATCAGGCAGTGGTGAATCTCTCCATGGTACAAAGCAGACTAGAAGCAGGGCAAGGAACAGATGTGGGCAAACAGCTTCAGGATAGCAGAAGGTTCTGTGCTCATGGTGTCCATTTCTTCAGTCAGCATCCAATGCACTGTTGATGTATGTGAACTACAGTTTCAGGAAATCATTAGGATCTTTATGTCTGAAAGCCATGGTGATGATCCATGACTACAGAATCAGTTTTATCTTCCTTACACACTAAAGTGACTTCGAATCAGTATTATGACAAGAAATCATGAGGAAAATGTAAATCCTTTCACTCAGTCCAATACTGTTTCAATCCCTTTTTTATGTCTCACTGGAATGCAACCAGCACAGAAAGTCTGACAGAATTCCTGATGCAAGCTGGAGTATTCAAGATCTTTTACTTTTCTTATTACTACATGCTTTTCTCATATACAGAGACAATAGGTATCCCCCTCAAGCCCCCTTCCATTCTTTTGTCAGAATTCAATTCACAAAGACAACAAATGACAGAGAGGCATGGCTGCAATAGAAGAGAAATCACTAAACAAGCTGATTTTGGCAAATTTTAAAAAATAAATTTTTGTAGAATTTTCCTGCATTTGCACAGGGTCAAATAAAATGTAAATATGATCTTTTGTAATAAAAAGTGACAGCAGCAGGAAATGTAGACAAAGTGCCAGTCAATATGGTGTGCAAAACAATACTTGGTGGCATGATAATTCCACTCATGCAGAACCCTGCCTTCAGCCTCGAGTGAACGGTCTCATTAGTTCCTTTGCTCTATTGAGTTAAAGGTGATCATTTCCTTTTAGCAAAATGGAAGTGGAGAAGATTCTGAAACTTCACTCTGAAATAGTTCTTCCTCATATTTCCCATTCAGTAATACTCCTTTCCTCATTTGTTTCCATTCTCTTTGCTGGAAACTTCTGGAGTCCGGAATTCCTGAAGTTTTGCCAAGTCCTGGACACTGCACGTAATCAAGGTTGTTTGTTCTTCATACTAACCCGTTTTCAGTCAGAACAGGATATGTTTTAGTCGTCTGTTTTAAAATCTCATCTCAGCCCTCACTTTTTCAGAAAAACCTCTCAATTTCCTGGAGTAGGTAAAAGCCATATTGTCTATATTATGTGCTTTATTTTCAAATCACTTTTTCACATGTGTGACTTTTATTTTGCTTATTGATTTGTATAATTCCTTACTTAATGGCAGACTTCCAGACTAACCCCAAGCTCAAAGTGTGGGCAGAGAGCATATTTTTGCTCTCTCTGTATCCAGTGTCTATAATATTGTAGGTGCTTAACCATGATTAGTTTAGTGAATGAACAAACCAGAAAATTTTTTGCTGGGATTAACATTTGAGTCTGACAGCATGCTAATCAAAACACATCAAAAGCTGAACCTTCAGTGTTCCAAACGTTCTTCCGCAGTCTTCTACGTTTTGGTAAATGCTAACTCAGTATTTCCTGTTTCTCAGTTCCACTCCCTTTTCTGTCATCATTGACCCCTCTTTTTGTCTCAGACTTCGTGTCCACTTTATCAGTAACACCAATGGATTCTACCTTCTGTTTATCCAGTGTTCAAGCATATTGCCTTATATCTACTGTTCTCTTTCTGACTAATCCACCATCCCCTTGGCCTGGACTAGAGCTAGTTTCCCTTCTGGTACCCTTACCTCACTATATTTGTTTTCCACATGGTAGAATATTCTTTGCAAAACACAAATCAAGCCATGCCAGTCACATCCCAATCTCTCAAACTTTCCAGTTATTATCCGTCTGGTTCAAAGTAAAAGTCTCTACGATGAGTTAAGACACCCTACATGATATGCTCCACGACAATGAGGGTGTTGATCTGTTATGTGCTATTGTATACCTGCAGTGTAGAGAAAAGTCAGTGGCACAAAGTAGACACTCAATAAATCTTTAACGAATTTGTGCACTTGCTAGTAACAGGCTATGCTATTTTTAAAAAGTATTCCTTGATCTTTAAAGCACAAAACACCCATTCTGATAGATTGCAATGAATACAATTACCCTTCAGTTAACCCATGCTAAGAGTATTCAGTACACAGCCTGACATTATGAACCTTTGTGCAAAGTCCTGCTCTTGAGAAACGTGCATAACAAAACTTGTATTGCGAAGTCAATTTTGACTTAGAAAATCATTATGGTGATCAATATTAGCTCAAAGAATCGCTCAAGGGCATGCTATGTCACAAGGCTGACTATTGTGGTTGGCTGAATTAAGAATTTCAAAAGGAAAACTGGTAATGCAAGTGTGTTTTCATTCTTTAGAACTGCTGGTGTACTGATTGAGTGGCAATTTTCAGGTAGTGGAAATCATAATTCTTGAAAAATTTTGGGGAAGATTTTTCATTTGCATTTTGACAACTGGAAAATCACTTAACCGATGATTCCACACCAAGTCATATATTAATACCATTAATATTTACTTCTTTAGCCCTCTTATAAGGTGATGATTTAGTGTTGAATAACTTAAAATGTTAAAGGAGAGAGCATGTCAGGGAGATGTACTCAAAGCAAACCTTTAAAAGCATTTGGAAGGTTCTGTTTACCAGAACGTACTGACGTACCCAAGTAAAGTGAACAAATAAGAATAGCGATGGTATTTCATACAGTTTAAATGGAAATTAGAACAAATTTTTGCATGTTTTCACCCTAAAATGAGTTCCTGGGGTTATCATGATGATAAAGTTAAAATTAATGGAAAGGTAGGGGAAATGTGGTGATGTTGGACAGGGGTTATTAACAGTTAGGTCTCTGAACTGCCCATCTCTGTCAAACCCATTAATCCTCATGCGTTAAAATTGAATGAGCAGTGTTTCAAAGAATTAATTTCTGTTCCTGTGGCTGGAGAAATTTTTGCTAACTATACTTTTGCTACCTATATCTCATTCATTTCGCTAAATATTTATCGAGCGCCTGAATATGCCAGTGTCCTAAGCTATGGCTATTTGAATGCTGCTCCAGACGCTTCAGTGTAGAGCCATTACATGCTGTGCGGAACTAGGTAGAGGGAAACGTTTTGTCTAATGAAGAGACTTAATAAAATTTGAAGGAAAAATATGAATTCATTTTATTCAAATAAGGAAAACTCATACTTAGCAAGTGATTTCCCCAAAGTGATACTTTTATTTGTATAGAAACTGAGGCAGGAAAGAAGGAATTTGTGGATAACACTTTGCTTTAATTTATGTTTTAATTTATGTTTGCCACTTAATGTAAGTAAAATGTTCTTAAATAGAAAAAGCTAAGATACGTTGAAAAATTAGGTCACCATTTGATTGATTTATTATGAACATAGCTAATCTAAGATTGACATAAGAATTCATAAGTGCTAAAACAAAAACAGAGGAAAATAAAAGGAAGAAATAATAGATTTTTTTTCATACAAGCATGGAATAGATTACTAGAGTTAGGTGCTGCTATTTATTTCAACTAATTCCAATGTAGAAGGGGATTTCTTTTATTTAAACAGTTGTGGTAGTAAATTCAAAGTGATGATATTCATAGTTAGAGAAAATAAAGAACAAAAAAAGCAAAAAGAAACAAATAAAAGAGTATATTAAGAATTCAGTTTCATAACTATTGGAAAAATATCACCAATGTTGTGAACCTTCTGAAAAGTAGGTCTCATAGAAGCATACCACATGCATATTCAACATTCAGATAAGCACATTAGGTCCTCAGGCATCCTTTAAAGACCCATATGTTTGGTGCAATTGCTCTAAACAAAGATAAATTTCCAAAGCCTGAGAATGTCTCATTTCTCTCATCAGTGGGAAGAGGCTGCTCAAGCAAAAAGACCTTCTGCAAAAATCCCCTTGCACCAAGGAAGGATCTGGACGTGCCCGTGCTCACCTACAGTAAATGCCTCACATATGAATGGACGCTCTAAATGACAGACTCTAAAATAATAAAAAATTACTTATCCCTAAAGAAGATTAAACAGAGCCTCAAAGCAGAGAACTCCAAACAGCTGAAATTGTGCACATTTCCATGCACACACTGAAGCTATAACACTAAAAAAAAAATGTTAAGTATCAGCAACACATAACAGAACAACTTCAAGATTTTGCTGTCAGTCATGACTTTGGAGATGGAGACTTCTATTGCCTGGCACTCTATCTTGACTCCCCTTATCAAAGTCCTTCACTTAGCATCGAATAATTCTCCAGCAGAGTCTTCAGAAAGAAGACTCTTTCTGAAGAGTGCTGAAGACTGCTTTCTTTCAGAAAAATAAAATCATGTTGCCTGATTACTGTACGTATTAGACTGAAATCTTCAGATGTCTCCCCGTCCACATCCATTTCTTAATGACTTTGAACTATTCTCCGAAACACATGGCTAAGCCTGCATCCTCACCAAATTTTCAATGACGTGAATTAAAATGAAACGGCACTGGAAACCTTGAAAAGGAAAATCAATCAATTCAGGAACTTGAAGGAAGGAGTATGCCACATGGGGAGGGGCAGTTCCAGCCCCTTTTCTTGGGCTGTGGTCTAATAATTGTGACCTGGGTAACTCAACATGTAGACTCAAGTTTAAATAACTGTGTTGTCAGGAGGTTGAGCACTGCTGGCCCTGTGGGGCCTGTATGCCTGTCGTGATTTACTTGAGGACCTTTGTCAATTGGCTGAAGGAGTGAGGTGGTGCTGGAACAGTTGGAATGATGGAAAGGGCGGAGGTCCACTAGGGGAGATGGTGGTACCATTTCTCTCCTTCCTTATGGACTGTGGAGTTTTCCTTTTCTTTAAACATTTGTCTGAGGGAAGCAGAATTTCAGCAAAACTACAGATGCCATCTTCACAAGTAGAGGAGCATGTCAGCACAGATTAAGCAGCTTCAGGGAAGAGAAGTCTCTCCGGACACCTCAAGAGCTCCAAGGTTAGTGGCTTCCTCTTGTTTCTCCTTCTCTGAGTGAGACATTGAGACCAGAAGGATTTTGTAGTAACTAAAGTGTCCAGACCTTTAGCCTGCTTTTCCAAGGCCTGGCATGCTGATGTGGTATTTCTGTCCCTTAATGAAGAGGCAGGAGCCAGCCTAGTAGACATATGTTCCTTTCGTGCCCTGGCCTCACCAGAAGCTTCTGGCTCCCGGCCATAGGACACAGTTCACCATGAGTCAGACATGAGTCTTTTCACAGGTTGGCAGAAGAGCAAGCGTGTGCTACATTTCCTGGCTTCAGAAATTCCTTCTAGTAGATATTTAAGTTTCCTTGATTTATTCCCCATATGGTCCATGTGGTTAACCAGGGTTTTGTTTTTTCTTAATAGCAGTAAAGCAAGACTCATCGTGACCTTCATCAGACTCATCACTCGCTAGCTCAGACCTATAATTTATTTAGAGCATCCTCTGTGGGGAGGACTGTCTCAGCTATTTAGTAATAGAATATGGAAATTTAAACACTGCGAGCTGTGCTGCTCGGAGCCAGATGACTGTGCTGGTAAGTGAGTGAGGGAAATGAGAATCTGTCTTTCCTGATCCACTGCACAGGCTACGTAGGTCCCAGGCCAAGTCAGGAAGGGCCACCGCTGCTTACTTTGAGAACCCTCCATTCCATCAGTAGGAGAGAAATGACCCCATAGACATTTGAGCTAGCCAGATGGACTTGTATTTTATTTCATGCCTGTGACTCTACTGGAGTGGTTCTCAGCTAAGGTCTATTTGTTCCCCCAGGAGACATTTGGCAAAACTGGAGACATCGGAGATTGTAATGACTGAGGAACTGCTACTGCGAAGAGGCCAAGGATACTGCTAAACATCCCATAATGCAAAGGACGGCACTTTCTCCCATCTGCCTCTACTACAGAGAATCATCCCCACCCAGCTCAGAATGTCAGCAATGCTGAGGGTGAGAAACCTCACTTTACTAGCTGATCCTAATAAAGTTTCTAAATCTCTTCTAAGAAGAAAGGTAATTATGAGTCCTGTAAGGTTGTGATAAAAGTTAAAGCAGAAAAATATATAAGACATTTATTCTACATATAGAACTAAAACAATGCTGTTTACTTTCTTTTTCTTGTGCTGGTATCTAGAAGCTCTCCCCTCCTCAATACAAATCCCCTTTTATCTTAGCTTAGGCTAAATTGTATTCAGTCTCTCCATAATCTCAGGGAGAAGGGCCAACCAGTGCTGATCTTTCTCCACCTTGTGTAAGTGCCTACCAGAGTGGCCCCAGAACTCCAGGCACGCCTGTCCAGCCACTGTGATGTCATATGACAAGGAAGCAACAAAATTACATGTCGGCTTTAAAAATTTCTACACAAATGTGTCTCACTCAGTGTTTTGCTCACCTCACTGGTGAAGGAGGGGAAGGAGGGATTCCTCACCTACATTAATGGAGATGGTGACTCATGATACGAGACAGAAGAGATTGAGTGCAATTTATTAGTCAAGGATAATCAGATCTGAGGGAGGGTGATGCCACAATTATGGAAACCCATAGAGGACTTGTACTTAGAGACAGAGTAGACAAACAGGGGCCATGCGAATCAGATATCATAGTGACAAAAGGATGAGGTGCCCCCTGGTTCACTCAGGAACGTGTCATCGACGTGTGAAAGATTCCATAGTCTGGCATGAGATTGCAACCCATTATTCAGGGATAAGCAGGACTATCCTCGGTTCCTTTCATAAGGAGGGTTTTTGCCAAGGAATCTCATCTGTGAAAGCACAGCGGGGAGGGGAGTTGAAGATTAGGTCTTTTAAAGCCCTACTGATTTTATCAGGTGTCAAGACTGTACATTATATTGAGCCTTAATTGTAGGCCTCACTCACCAGTCACCCCGACTGTATTCCCTCAGTGTACATGTGTTTCATGGAAAATTGAATTCGGTTATGGAAAGTAACAGAAAGATCATCCTAGGCCATTGTTTTTTCAGTATCCATTTCTGCTCATGGACACTTTTTTCAAGGGGAACTTACCTAAATGTAGTCATTGACAAGAATAATGATGCTATGCACAGAAAAACCACCATGCTCTCTTCCCAAGCACTGACATAACCTGTCCATATTTTGCAAGTGAGAAAATAGAAGCCCAAAAAGGGAGAAGTAACCTCAGGAATGATGAGGTAGAATATGAATGGTCTATTATAAACGTACATTTCTAAGCTAGAAATAACAAATCTCATAGTGAAAAAATACAGGGAGCAAAAGTAAGAGGCCTGTGGATTCTGGAAGTATGTGTATATGGCAGAGGAGGATGCAAAGGAAGGGAGGCAGAAGTCATAAAAAAGGGAAGGTGGGAGTAATTTTGGAGAGAAGAAAGGAAACAGAAAAAAAAGCTGAAGGCATCAAAGTCAATCCAAATGTGCATCTTGTTGATGACTTCTGGATCTGTTTGTGTGACCTGAACACTGAACTCCAGATTTATGAATCCAGTTGCCCACATTATATCTTTGCTTGCAGTTTGATTGGTATTTTACTGTGGCAAACCTAAGGCTGAACTTTTGATTCTTCACCTTGGTCTGCATGACAGCAGAGGACTGTACTATCCACCCAGTATCTCAAACCAAATATAGGTATGAATCAGTGACCCTTAGTTTCCTTAATCCCCATTGCCAATCTATTAGCAAAGGTCCACCTTTGCTAGCAGGTTGACCTTTAAAATATATCTAGACTCTGAGCCTTTCTTCAGAGGTCTTCAATCTCCACCTCTTAAGAAGAACTCTCTTGTCTGCTTTGCTTCCACCTTTGGATCCCATGATCTACTTTCCCCCTAGAAGACTTGATATTTATAGAATATAAACTAAATCATATCACCTCTCTGACCAAATTCTGAGTGCCGGTCAGCATGGAGAAAGAAGTCTGAGCTTTTCATCAAGACTCGCAGACCCCAGTTCTTTAAATCCCAGCTCAGTCTTCCTAGCTGGTTTCTTGTGCTTGGACTTCAGCCACGGTGACCTCACTGCTCTTAGAACATTCCAAGAATGTATTGCTGTAGAGGCTCATTCTTTAGATTGAATGAGGCACAACCTTCTTGCCTATTCAGTTCTAAAAATGAAACAGGTAATGGCTCTACTACTAGGATTCTCATCTGAATTGACTCCTTCTCAGAAAAACTTTCTCTGGAAATTCCCATCATGTCTATCATTTTTGTTCCTTATCTTGCATTGAAAAATTATTATTGCACTTAATACTACACAAAATTACATTCTATTTTAAAATTTATTTTTTCTTCACTAGACTCTAAGATCCTCAACCATAAAATATGCTCAGGAACATACAACAATTTCATATTGGACGATCTAACACTGGAGAAGAGCTTCAATACTTTAATTATCCCACTATATATATCACTAAAACTAGATAAAGCCAAATGAATGGTGTGTTTGAGAAGGAAACAATGATAGTGGTGCTGTGGTTTATTACAGGGTTGGAGACAAGAGTTAATTTATTAAGCTAGGTAAATTTGTGACACAACATTCTACTTTCTTCACAGGTCCATATAAGGAATAAATTCATCAAAATTTAAAAAAATATAGGAACACTGAAGTGATTTCTCAATATCCTTTGACCAACAGCTGGAGAAAGGTGGTTTACTCAACTGGTCCTCAGACATAACTGCAAATCAAAGTCATTTGAAATTGATTTTCTCAACCTCAAGTGCATAATTCATCAGCTACCTACCCACCGCAGCGATTCTGATTCTCTCAGGAAATGTGGGCATTATAAAAACTTTTTAAAGACATTATGATTTTCAGCCTCTCAGGAAATCACTGACCAAGTAACTTGCCCATCTTATATGTTTTTAATAGACAAAACAGATATTTGAACAAAGTGGTCATATGGACTGGTTGGCTATGAACTTTAACACTGTTGATCTGTAGAATTTCAATATTTTTCCATGGCCACATATTAAACCTTAAGTTCAACACTGCAGAGAATCCCTAGGTGTTGCTGGATCTATGAAAGCAAAGTGAAATCCTAGTTCTCTCTTCTGTGAATGTTTGCCTTTTGAAAGCAGCAGTTTCCCTTGAGCGAGTCTGCTGCCCTGCTTACATAGTAAAATGCAGAAAGCAAATCACTGATCTTTACCTTCTTCCATTCTTGGTCAGTAAACTCATAACTACGGAATGTTGGTTTGTTTGACTGTATTCTGAAATGTGCCAGCAGCAATGTCCATGATTAAATGCATCTCATGGATCTGAGCATCTCACAAGAAAATGAAATAGGACAAAATTCTCACGCTGGTCTTCCTTTCCTAACTGGAAATTCATTCTTCAGAGGGAAGGAAGACAAATGCAAATAAAATTCTCTAACCTACAATATGCTGATTGGTTGTGGACTCTTTCATGCCAGAGTGACATTTCTAATTACATTTACAGGACACAAGTGATTTTGACCTCACAGTTTACTGGAGAAGTAAGGCTAATGGGTATGCAGTGTCAGTGAAACAGAATTCCTTTCCAGTCTTTAAAGCTCAAGTTTTCTGAACTGTAGATTGCCACAACAGTACAAGGATTTGAGCTTCATAAGGCTGGATGAAAACTTTATATTCTTGTCAAATGGAAAGAAATAAAGATTTTTCTTAAATTACCTAGACATTGTATTTGAAACCATGTCGTTTTCTATTCTAAAGCCGTGCCTATAAATCCAGAACATGACCATGCAGCTAGATACAGTAGATCGGGAGTTTAATTGCAGTAAATCCTTCTCAACAATGTACCAAGAGCCTACGTCATCATCAGCTGACCAGCTAAAGGAGTTCCTATAGCTTGCTAATTAATCAGAAATGTAAACATTGCCACTGGATAGCCTGCTTTTCTGTGAATTCATTTTCTTTTGGAAGAAGTACTGTTGGAATTGAGAACACTCCTGCTTCTGTCTAATATATGCAAATACCTTCATTCCTCAGTTCAGAGCCCACAAGTAAAAACGAGTCCCCTGATTCCTCACTCTAGTCTTAGCAATGGGATGAGACAATCAGTTTTTTTTTCCCTTCTAGTCCTGTCTTCCTCTTTAATATTCCATCACTCACCTCAAGGAAACCTCAACAGGATGCTGTGAGACAAAAAGTAACAGCCTCCAAAGAAAATTTACTGACTCCATCCCACTGCTGCTTGATAGGGTAAAACATTAAACTCACATACTACAGCATAATTAATAAAAGATACAGCAGAACAACTGACAGAAAATATGAATAAATGCATGCAACAGCACAAGATATCACTTCATAGAATACATAGAATGAACCGTTTGGAGGAGGATATGAGAAGTGACAGGTTAATCTTGGCCAAAATAAAGCTCCTTAGCTACTATTTCAAATTTTGGGATCCAATAATAAGAAATGGGATACAATAAGATACAAACAACTAATACAAGAGGACACATCTCATAGAAACATAGTGACAAAGTGCTGGAGGAGTTCAGAAATAAGAAAATCCCCTCCCGACCTCTGCCCACTTAGATATTTCTCAACTGAAGTAGCAGTTAGATGCTCCATGAGGTACAGAGAAGGCACGGCTACATGGAGTCAAGGGCTGGGAAAGTCGCTTCAAGCAAAGAGAACATGATCAAAGGCACGAGATGAAGAAAGTGGAGAGAATGTGTAAGAGTAGTACATACTATAGTTTTTCTGGTTTCGTTTTGTTTTCAGCCATAGAGAATGTGGTAGGAATATATAGGTTAGATTGTATTTTTGGAAAAATAGATTGTGTTCAGATCATTGAGGTATTCAAACCATAGATTAAGAACTCTGCAGGCAAAAGAGAGCAATTTAGAAGATTTTGGGTGCAGACAAATGATGTAATTTAAATTTTAGAATGGTTAGCCACAGTATGGTGGAGACAGAGATGAAAGTCAATGGAAGGATATTGCTTACATGTCTTGATATTTTTTAAAGTGTTTAATTAAATTCTCCACCCTAAAATGTGGGTATTATGCACAAATGCCAACTCCTCACAAGGAATGCAAACATTATGTACTGCAGACGTATACTAAATTAAAAAAAAAAGGAAAGAGAACAAGAAATGGGTGGAGGAGGGAGAAGGGGAAAAAGGTAAACGCAGTTGCAAAAAAGCAATCAAAATATGTTATGCACATGTACCAGCTGTCCACAAGGAATGAAGGAATGTAAACAGTATGCATTACACACATGCACTAATAAATTAAAGGAACTAATAAAAAATTTTTAAAATACTAAGATACAACAACTTTCTGATATAAATCATTTGCTAGAACACTTTAGACATTTATCTAATAAGGGCCCAGTTTTCCAATCTGAAAACAAAAAATAACAATATCTTCCTGTGAGTTCTAAAATCTCTTATATGCAATAACAAAATACTCCAACAAGGCAAACCAATTTTCAGCCAAAGTATAAAGTGATGGTGCCACATTTCTATATCCTTAAATCAACTATAGACCTATAGTACTCAAGACAGCATCATACTAGCCTGAAAACTGGCACATAGACCAGTGTAACAAAAGAGAAAGAAAGAAGTCCAAACATTTACAATTGACTATTGTATTTTTTATAAAATACACTGAGGAAAAGAATAGCCTCTTTAATAAACTGTATTAGAACAACAGTATATCAATTACACCTTTAACCCACACCACGTATAAATGACTTCAAGCTGATTAAAGACCTAGGACTAAATGTATAGCATTACTGGACAAACATAGAGGAAGAGCTCCACTAATCTAAGTACTATTGGTTTTGGATATGACCCCAAAAGTATGGGCCACAAAAGCAAAAATAGGTACATAAAATTATATCAAACCAAAAAGCTTCTGTACAGCAATTGAGAGAATCAAGAGAATAAAGAAACAACCGATGGAATAGGAGGAAATATTTGCAAATCATTTATCTGATAATAGTCAAAACATAAAATGAAAGCAGATAACTCAATAACTAGAACACAAATAGCCAGATTTAAAAATGAGCAACAGAACTGCATAGACATTTATTTAAAAAGACAAATGATCAACAGATATATGAAAAAATGCTCAATATCATTAATAATTAGGGATTTTGAAACCTCACATATTTTAAGATGGTTTTTATAAAAAAACAAAAAAAACAGGAGATAACACACTGGCAATGATGTGGAGAAAAAGGAGCTATCATATACCATGAGTACATATGTAAATTAGTGCAGTCATTATACAAAACACTGTCTAAATTCCTTAACAAATTAAAGTGAGAATTATCATATGATCTAGTGGTCCCAACATTGGGTATGTATCCAAAGGAAATAAAATTAATATGTTAAGGAGATAGATGTACTTGCATGTTCATTATGGCATTATTCTCAATAGCTACAATATGGAGACCACCTAAATGTCCATCAATGAATGGAGAAAATATAGTGTATATGCTCAGGGGAATATTATTCAGCCTTGAAAACAAAGGAGATCCATGATTACATGAATGAATCTAGATCATATTATGTGAAATGAAAAAAGTCAGGCACAGAAAATCAAAACTGCATGATTTCATTCATATGTACAAGCTAAAAAAATTAAATTCAGAAACAGTAGAATATTGGTTGCCAGGGCCCAGGACAGTAGGGAAATGTTGGGTAAAGTCATAAAATTTCCATTAATTAAGAGCAATAAAGTAAAGAGATCTATTGTACAACATGGTGACTATTACTAATTACAATGTATTTTATTAAGAAAATTTGCTAAGACTGAGACAGGAGACTAGGGCATGGCAAGGTGGCTGGGGAAGTAGGTGTGACCTGTTAATTACAAAATCCCAGAACACATTCCCAGGGCAGTCCCAAAGCTCTGCACATGGACTTCTCATAAGAATTTGAGCAGGTTTCTGAGAGGATGGCCCAGACCTGAAGTCAGCCTGAAAGGTGGATGACATAATAATAACAGTCACCACTGAGATTTGCCATTATGCCCTCCCTTCTATGGTGACCAGCCCTCATGCTGCAGGGTGTGCTTCTTTTCTTACTTATGATTGGCTCAAATTCACTCTGCAGAGCCAGTTTCTTTTCCTACCTCTATTAAAACTTTGTTAGCAGCCAGGGATATAGCTCAGTGGCATAAGCGCCTGCCTGGCAAGCCCAAGGTCCTGAGTTCGATTCCCGGTACCAAAATAAAATTAAATAAATAAATAAATAAAACTTTGGTACCATTTGGGCTTATCTTGACCAATTCCTTGCTCAGGACAGAAACCACCTCCAGAAGGAGACTTGAGCAGCCCCAAATCTTGTGACAAAACTGTAGGTTTTGTGTTCTCAACATAAAAAGTGAGTACATGAGAAAATGCATGTGGTAGTTAGCTTGGTTTAGCTATTCCATAATGTGTACATATTTGGAAACCTGTTGTACATGACAAATATAGTGGGTTTTTGTTTGTCAAATACAATTAATGAATAAAATCTCTTCAGAATTTCACAATTGCATTAAAGTTTCTTCAATTATTAGGCTAGGACATGAATCAATGATTTTCAAGATATTGTTTATACCATAACTTCTCTATAAAAAGGAGATATTTCCTATAGATACGTTGTGATACAAAAAATAAATTAAATTAACTAACAGCAATAATAATAACAAAATTCTCCATCCCAAACCAAGCCAAGTTAACAAAACAATAGTTTGACCTTAAATATAGCTTTTAGTTATCTGTGCTTTCATCAAACCACTCCTTTGGATATCTGTTCCTTAGGATGAGAAAACAAAAAACAAAAACAGAAATATAATCTAATTTAACTTCCACATTTCTTTCAACTGTTAATAGCCATGAATTTCAGCTAAATGTAAGGCAGTGAAAATTTTATTAATTTATCTGTTGTCACCAGAATTATTCTTATAGAAGGAATAAGAGAGCTTTTGACTACCTGTGAGAGCAAAGCAGGATCCAGAGGGCATGGATTAGTGGGAGCCAAAGGTCCAAAGTGAAAACAAAACTTCTCTATACATTAAAAATAAAACAACAGGAGGGGAGAAAAGGGAAAGAATGGAAGGGCCTAGGACAATGATGGGAGCTTCTGTTGGCTTTCTGGAGCTGCTATTGCAAAGCACTACTCAGTGGCTGTCTTAAATGTAAGAAATTTTTATCTCCAGTTCTGAGGGCTGGAAGTCAGATCACGGTGTCCATAGGGCCAGTTCTTTCTGAGGGCTGTTTGAGGGAGAAAAGCAGAGCACCTTTTCCACGCCTCTGGTCCAGCGTCTGTAGGTTTGCTGGAGTCTGGCTTCTACTGTATCGCCCTGATCCCTACTTGCATTTTCAGCACGGTTGTTTGTGTGTGTCTCTGTACAAATTTCCTCTTTTTCTAGGAAGACTC